TTCAATTTCTTATTGGGACGCGGCCCGTTTTTTGTGCAACCGAGCCTTCCTCGTTATCTTTATATATTTTTTTATGTGTTTTAGCTTTTTTTTCTTTTCTTTATTAGTCAGTTTTATTTTTCTTTTATGGGCATTTTTTGGTTGGGTAAGCGTAAATTTATACATGCAAATACTTTCTCAATACTATATAATATGTGTCAGAGTTGCACTATTATATAATTGTTCTTTGCATATTATAAAAAATGCAATTACTGTGCAAAGTTGTTTGAAATTTACAAAAAAATTCTTCATTTTCTTTCTTCTTAAAAGAAAATGCCAATGTCACTTAGGGCATCTCCAACGCCGACCCGCAAATCGCCGGCATATGTCCGGATTTGCAAGTTACGGCTATAGATGCTCTTAATAGTTACAACATGTAAAGCTCTTTCCAAGATGAATAAGTTTTCTGAAGCAATGGTAGCCAGCTACACAATTACCAAAAAAGACTTTTGCCCCACTTTATATATAAAGCATACCGCCCAAGCCACAAACAAGCATACGAGTCCAGCCACAGCTACACAGTTCTTCTCCGGTATTCTGGACACTTGCGACAAATACGTCAGAAGCTGGTAACAGAAGCATGAATGTTCAAGCGTGTGCTTGGGCTCTCTGGATAAATTTCCAGTGAGATAAATGCCGCACTTAAAGACATCTGCTGAAGAACAGATGATTTCCGGATAACATTGTTACAAGAATCGTGATATAACTTAGTGGAGACCATTATTATTTGAAACAACAAATCAAATTATATATAGCTAAATCACGACATAACTATTGGCATGACACTGTCAGTAAATACAAGTGGAAAGATACAAGATTTTTTCTTTTCTTTTTGAGATGGGTAGGATACAAGTGCTGGTTTGAGAAGATTTATTTTGAGGAACACACTCAGATTTGTCGCTTATGTAGATTTCGACCGGACAATCCTCACGAATTAGTTTTCCATTTCAAGAGGCGAGTCAGAGTGAAATCTTAGCCTTGGAGGAAAGGCCCCTCCTCCATTCGGGAGTAAATTGCAGAAAACCACCACTTTGAAGGCAAGGTTTACGAAAACCACTACAATACTTTTTTTTTTGCAAAAAACACTGTGTCTTCGGTAATCTTTTTGCAGAAAGCACTGATCGGCGTATTTGCCTCTATTGAGCGCGTTTATGACAGACGGGGCCTGTTTTCTGCTTATGTGGCACAACAGTTTATAGGTTTAATGCAAAAACGCCCCTCGACTTTCTCCACACTGCTCCCAGGCCCTCCAACCAAGCCTCAACTGGCAAGCGCGCACACGAGCTCAGAGCCGCCCCTCCTCCCCGGCGTTCGAGGTGCCGCACCGCCCTCGGACGGCGGAGGGCTGTTGGGGAGCTCCAACATGGCGGTGGCCAGGGCCGAGATGGGCGGCGTCCTCTGCCTCAAACTACGTGTGGCAACGGCGATGGCGCCCGGGCCTTTGCCTCGGCCAGGTCGGGACAGGTGCGGCGGCCTTCTTCATCGACCTGGGCGTGGCCGGATCCGGCCACATCGGCCTCCACCGTCCCCGCCCGGCACCGGATTCGGCGGGAATGCCCCGGGCAACTCGGCGTGCTGAGCGCGTGGGGCTACAACGTCCGCGGCCCCGTTGACCATTCGGCAGCGCCAGCATGAAGAAGAAAAGGCCAGGGGCGACGCCAGAGCCCGTCACCGACAGGAAGGCCGCCACATGGAGTCGTCGTTACCATCGAGGGTGCTGTGACTAGGGCAGCAATGGCAGCGACCGAAGCAGCAGGGGCGGCCTGGGGAAGAAGAGGGCGGAAGGGCGACGGCCTGGGAAAGAAGAGCGCCAGTGAACGCCGAATGCGTGCAGCTGGCAGGCAGCAGGCCGGCAGTGCCCACCACGGCGTACTGCAGCAGCCCGCACGTGAGCCACGCCTCCTATCGCCCAGCGTAGCTCTGTCCACCATAGAATGAGGCGTTGGGGAGGACTCCCCCGATCCAGATCCTGCTCAGGAGGAGTAGTTCCACCGCGGAGGAGTGTTGGGGCTAATTGCGTTTTTCATTTTTGATTTAGGGGTGTCTCTGCAAAATTCTAGGGTCTAGTTTGTAATTTTAGATCAAAACCCATAAATTGCAAAAAGTTAGGCCACGCAAGCAGAAAACGGGCCCCACCCATCATAAACATGCTCAATAGAAGCAAATACGCTGATCAGTGCTTTCTGCAAAAAGATTACCGAAGACACGGTGTTTTTTGCAAAAAAAAAAGTATTGTAGTGGTTTTTGCAAACCTTGCCTTCAAAGTGATGGTTTTCTACAATTTACTCTCCATTCGGAGAGGCGGATCGCCGTCTTCTTGAGCTTGTGGAAAATGGTTTGATAGGGATCGGTATGGTCAACCCGTTCGTTCCACGCCCTTTGAACCACCTCGTTGAAGCCGGGCATGGATGCCCAAAAGTTTTTCAAATTTAAAAGTTCAAGGCCTCCTAGGGCCCTTGTCATCGGCAAGCAAAAGCGGTCAATGATCACAAAGGGATGATGAAAGTGCATGGAAAATATGTGTGTTGAAGGTTGTATCCCACTCGGCGTTGCAAAAAAAAGAGTCGAGCTTGCATAACGTTGGGTTTTCCCTCTCGTTGCTCCAAGTGAACCTCCGATTTTGGAGATGAATTTCTTTGAGCTCGCAACTATGGAGTGTTGCCTCCAAGTGAACCTCCAAGCTGCTCTTCTGGTAATCCTTCGCCTCGACTTTGCCCAAGAGGAGAGGCCTCTCTCTCCCGAGGAGCCTGAACTTCAGGCTAGGCTTAAGAGAGTGGTCATTGCTTGGCCGTGATCGAGAGATCCCGCAAGAAACAATGTGCGCGAATATCCAACCTCAAAGAAGGCGATGCCAATACTAAATTCTTCCACCGCTAGGTTAATGCTAGGAGGAGAAAAAATCATATCCATCGAATCAAGAACAAGCATGGTTGGGTTACCGAGCATGAAGCCAAAGAGAAATTAATCCAAGACCACTTCTCCCATGTCATGAAGAAAGGAGCTAAAAGTTCTAAAGATTTCAACTGGGAGGAGCTCAATATGGAACACCTTGACTTGCATGGCCTTGACTCTCCAATGGCCGAGATGGAGGTTCTTGAAGCAATCGACGACATGCCAAATGACAAGGCCCCGGGACCGGATGGCTTCACGGGCCTATTCTTCAAGAAGTCTTGGGAAATTCGTAACTTGTTGTCCCCAAGTCCAAAACTACAGAGTATGCCATCAAAAACTCATGATCCCTACGGCTGGCTAGAAAAGTAAACAGCATGCTGCTATAGTCGTCAATATGCGAGGCAAGCGTCTTGCTGGCCTTGGGCGCTGTCATGGCTCCCGGACGGATGTATGCGGCGCCGGTAATACCAGGGAGAATGGCTAGCTCCGGAACATCATCGAGGAAACAAGACAAGCTAGTTCTGGAACAGGAACTTGAGGTCAGCCTCTGTAAGCTTTGACATGGCCTCTGGCGAGTCACCCACGGTGCTGCAAAAAAGGACGGGAACAAAGTATATGTCAGCCAACATCATCCCATCCACCCGGCCGACCCAGGATGGCTGAGGAGGAAACGAGATTTACCCATCGAACACAAGCTGCTTCTTCTCTTGCAGTTGCAGGATGCGCTCTTCAACTGTGTCCTTGATCACAAACCTCGTGCTTCTGTGTCAGTCAAATCATATCGCAAGTCAGATAAAGGAGGCGGAGTGTCCATTTTAATTAGCATATATAGCAAATTACCTAATTAGCTTGAATTGTCCGATTCGGTGGATTCGATCCTGCGCTTGACTCTCCACTGCTGGATTCCACCAAGGATCCATCAAGAAAACCTATCCACCAGGGAATATATATAAGCAGGCAGCATCAACTGGATCGTTTACATGGGTTACTGCTGTCTAACTAGACATAAAGGAGGAGGATATGCACTGACTTACTTGAGATGCTACAGTAAGATTAAGAGCCACTCCAGCTTTCAGGCTCATCAGGAAAATCCTGCAATCTGGGTCATTTATGAAGGTATCTATAGCTCTCCCCTTTTCCGCCATGTTCATTTTCCCATTAAGTTGCACACACTTGATGCCAGACTGTTAAAACATGTTACAAATTATTTCACTTGTCCATAAACAATGCAATGCAATGCAATGTTAAATATCAGTAAAAGTTTCTCAATACTTTACCCTCTGCAGGGAGAATTCAATCAAATCCAAGAACGATGTGAACTGGCTGAAAACAATCCCTTTTGCAGAACCATCATGCTCAATCATGTTCCTTATCTCTTCTCTCTGCATTAAAAAGGAATCAATATCAATATTGCGTTGCACGTAATATGGTCCACTCTCGACGTAATAGTAAGATTTGCTCTTATTGTGCTTAGTGGCGACTTAACAGAACCATAATTACACTAGACTTAACAGAACCATTTCATCATCATCCAGATACCCCTCTATACCAAAAGACTTGTAATTGGATCAAGGTTAGTTTCATGCCAGGGGTGTTCCAGTGATGTCATGAAATATATTAAGCCAATGAGAGAACAGAGCTGGAATTAGCTAGTTGCAGAATACTTGTTCACTATTGACTCCCATACCTTCGAATGGTGTGTCTTATCTTCATAGAGATAGAGATGAATTAGTTTAGCCCATACAAAATATCCACCTAATAATCAAATACTCGCTCCGTCCCAAAATAAGTGTCTCAAGATAAACAGCTGGTTACCACCAGCTCTTGCCAAGATATTGAAGGCAAAACAGTTTCTAGAACTTTCAATGTTAACACTATGCATAAGAGGTAAGAGTTTGTTGACAGAATTCACTCCCCTACACACCAAGCATGTCAACATTCAGATTAGCTCCAAACAACAAAGTATGCTGACCAAGTTATCCAACTTACCAATGCATCAATTTTTGTACTTGTCTTGAAATCTGCTAGGCTTTGTAGTCTGCCCAGTATTCCTGAGCGTTTGCCACCCTTCAAATTTGCAGGGACCTTTCGTCTCGAATTTTCCGTTGTTAAGTCAACAGTAAGAGGCTTCGAACAAGATGGACATGAAACATTCCCCAAAGTTGCAGAGCACTCCATCAAACAACTCTTGCAGAATACATGATCGCAAGACGTAACCTTGAAAGGAAAGTTCATACGCGAAAGTCAGCTTATAACCAGTGGAAAACAACGCATGAGCTTAAATAACTTTATAGGGGCAATCAACTAACCACCACATCTTCTGCCAATTCATGACATATTCCACACTGGCTTTCCATGGCACCATTTTGTTGATTTTTGCATCCTTCCCGAGATTCTGCTGTCTTGGAAAATGCAACAAGGTATGGATGATCAACAGCCTACAATTTTGATGGAACAGTCAAAATGTTACTTCAACATAGAGAAATAATTAAGAGTGCAATTCTATAGGGAAAAACAGCATAGTAACATAGACTATAGGCGATTACACTTGCTTGTTGCACCCATAAGGAATTCTAAGGATATCCAAGGAATTATGTGCACCTGTCTCAACCTTGTGAGGAGGTCAAAGATATGGGCATAGTTGTTCAGCAACGTTCCAGCAACAACATACCTGGAGAAAACAGCGGTAAGGGATTTGTCTGAAAAACCTTAAATCTTTCAAAATAGGAAATATAAAGGAGCATTTGACTACATAAGCTACTTTACAATGGCATCCAATGACTACAAAAAAAAACACCTGCTACATCGAGTATTGGATGCAACCATGAAACTATGAGCAGAATCTCTTTGCAATGCACCTTGCATCTGTTGTAAGTATAGCTCCAGAGGAATTGATGTTTAATTAAATCCAGGGCCAAAAGAAATGGATAAGCACTAACCAATAACGATGGCCCTTTGTTATGATGTATTGCAAATCAAAGTTGTTTGAAGCTAGTAAAGAAGATTCTTGTTCAGATAAAGATGGATTTTTCAACTTTTGCAGAAGCAGCATAATTATCACAGGATGTCTACTGAACAATCCATATGGTATCACTACATAAGTAGGAAGGAAAGGAAGACTCACGAATCAAACTGCGTGCAGCTTCGAGTATATAATGCTTCATAAAACCCCATTTCATTTCTATCAAAAGAGTCCTGCCTCAATGTCACCTAACATGTTAAAGTTAAACTTCTTGCATGAATTACATTCATATTGTATATAACATGTTGTGCACAACTTACAGTCTTCGGTGGAAGAGCAAGATCTGCAGCTCGGCCAATTTTTGTCCGCCTTAATACTATGCCCTTCAAGACTTTCTCCTTGAGAAGAGTCATAGCTCTTCCGCCCTCAAAACTCGCGGATCCATCCAGTATTGGTGTCACTATGTGCTGTTCAAGAATGGCTTTGTGTTAGCAAAGATGATGTCACAAATAAAAAATATGTCAGAATAAGGGACATATAAAACCCTGTAACTGACCTTATTCCACCAGCAAAAGTGCCTGACAGCTGAGTGACCACAGTCACATTTTGTCTTCGTACTGCAGGAGATTAGGGTCAATAACTAAAACGAAGAAATAACAATGGGAACAGCAGCAACTCATAATCTGGTGTGATACAACTATAACGTTGCAACAGTAACCTTGTTTACAATCATACTAGAGTAAATTTTAGAAACTACAGCTCTTTATAGCATGTAACATTTTACAGAACTACATTTTTAATCTTGCAACAGTTATAGCCCATCCGTAGGCCACACAATTGGTACAAATAAATCAAATGGTATTTTGTGATCCCATGTATGGTTGACTGGTGGGCCCTATGGATCAGAAAGCCAGACAACTAGAGCCTGGACTCCTGTGTGGTTGACCAATGGGCCCTATACATAATAACTGTTCCGAACGATAATGTCCAACAAATTAGTTAACCGAATTAGTTGGTCAATCATCATATATTACAAGTAGAGGCAGATCTTACTTATCTAGTATCTGACAGTCACAATCCTTGCAGAAGTAGTTCGAGTAGGGAAAGATTTGCAAGAAGCGAATCTGAGAAAACAACAGTAAGAATAGAGGAGGTAAAATAAAATGGTTTTTTTATCATTTATGCCACTAGTTGTGTCCCACTACTCAGTTTTGCCACTAGGAATTTCAACTGCTCAAAAATGGCATCGCTTCGTTAGGCGCATGCTGAAAAATGCCACTGGACATCATTACTGTCAGCTCAAATCTCGTTTGCCATGTTATAATGACATAAATACCTATGGACCAACATGCCAGCCCTCCCTCTATCTCACTACAATAAAGTGTGGGTCCCACTTGATCCCAACAACATTCTTATTTTCCTGTAGAGTATTCGCTTGCTTGCTACTAACAAGTGGGTCCCGCACTTATCATTGTGAGATAGAGAGAACTAACATGTGGGCCTAGGGGTATTGTTGTCATATAATAGGTTAAGGAATTTGACTGACAATAACGACGTCTAATGGCATTTTTGAGCAAACATCTAAAGGAACGATGACATTTTTTAGATATGTAATGGCATTTTTGAGCAAGCATCTCAAGGAACGATGGCATTTTTTAGCAGTTATAACTTCTAATGGCAAAACTGAGTAGTGGGACACAACTAATGGCATAAATGATAAAAACCCAAATAAAATTGGTCAGGATCTTCAAACATTAGTTGCAAACCAGCGAGTAAAGTTCTCCAACACGATTCTGCAATGGCGTCCCACTCAGAGCCCACTTGTATTCCGATTCCAATGCAAAAACTGCCCTTGCAGTATTGCATCATTTATCTCTTATGAAGTGAGCCTGCAGAAAAATACATGGAGCGACTGAATCATCTTTAGAAAGAAACAAGTCAATCATTGTTGAATTGAACGTCAGGAAAATATTAAAAGATTGAAGATATCATCTAAAAAGACAAAGAAATCACTGCGTAGTGAGGACACAGCTGTCTCCCAAGTACACAAATTGGTCTCAATCCTTGAGATTTCATAAAACAGTGTAATGATGAACAGAAAACACTAAGGTGGATAGCAAGACACTTAGAAACTGTCCACTAGATAAAACCTAATATGTATCTCTATTATATACTGAAACATGCATACAGAAAATAATATATTTCGAAATGGGACAAGTACTTCTGGACAAGCTTCGTTTAGACATGATGAAACTAGGCTGCTGGCCAACATCATCATGTTGGAAAACACCAACAGAACAGGAGCATTCAGTAACACCAGAATGAGCTTACCAGGGAAAAAAAGACCTTTGTATCAAATACAGAGCTATAAACTTTGTGGATTTTGCATAACTGCTCATTAAGCTTTCGCGCTTCATGATATCAACATGGTGTGCCGACTAGTAATGAATAGATTTAGATTAGCAGAAGAACACTTGTGTGCAACTTAATGCACTACGATGCAATACAGCAAGGAAACCTATCATATGTTATCTTGTTTTTTCACAAATATATAATAGAAACCAAATAGTAGAGTTCTGATGCTTGCAAGTGTCATCACCAAAACATCACAACTAAGAACAACCTGTACAGGAACAGATTATTGGTCAAGATACTAGAACAAGAGCTCTTATCATAACAATGATGAAACTATTAGAACTTCTAGTGTGTATCACCTAGGAGAGTGGAATGTGGAAAAATGCTGTAGAGATAGTATGTCATATCATGTTATGCATTGAACCCGGATACAGTAACAAGTGCACATGGAGGCTACAATTTTAAAAAACAAAAACAAATCAGATAGTATAAAGTCAACTTAATGTTCTTCATCCAAACATACAGAGTGTACCTAGCTCACAAATCTAATACTCTTAGTCCAGTTGAAGAGTGAACCAAAAACACAGTGATCTTTCTTGCTTAGGATATGAATTTGCCATGCTTGATCACTACAATCGAGTTTAGTAATCTCCAACCGCTTTCTTAAGTTGGCTCTCCTTTTCTTCTCCTCTCGCGCGACCGCGTCGTCCCCGCGGGCGACCGGCCGCGCTCCGGCGCCCCCCCCTCCTCTAGAGCCCCCCCTTCCCTCCCTCCCTCCCCGCCGCCGTCGCCGGCACCCGCGGCCAGGCCTGGCCTCTGGGTTGCTGGCGGCGGCGGCCTCCTGCCCTTCCCCTCTCGGTGCTCCCCGGCGCGGGGCGGTGTGCGCCGGGGGGTGCTCTTCGGCGGCGGCGGTCTGACGTGTCGGCGGAGATCCTGGCGCGGCGTGGGTGGATGACTGGGCGACGGCGTCGCCGTTGGCGGCGGGGCGGCGCGATCTGAACCAGCCCGCTCGGCCCAGATCTGGGCCCTTCGGGCCCCATCTGGGTTTGGGCGGGCCGGCGGCGGGACGGGCCGGTGGCGTGGCCTCCAGGAGGCGGGAGAGCGGCGTTGACGGCTGGGAGCGGGCGGCGCAGGTGCCGGCTTGCTGCAACATGGCCGGCGGGGCTTTGCGGGTCCGTTGTGGACCTGGCCGGGCCAGGGGTGGCCCGGTGTGCCCTGCTGCCACGTCCGGTCGGCGACCACGACGTCGCCGGGGGCTCGGGCCTCCCGCACGTCGGCGGGGGAGGTGGTTCCCTCCCGCTTGGCTTCTGTGTGGTTCCTCCCGTCGCTTGGCGCTTCTTTCCGGCCTCCTTGGCTCGTGGTGGTGTTCGCAGCGGGGCGGCGTGGATGTGTCCAAGACCGTGGTGGAGCGTGCTTGCGGGTGGCTTGATGGTTGGTTGGCCCCGGTTCGAGTGGGTAGCGGTGCTTGGGGATGTGGGAGAAATCTTTGCCGGTTCTTCCGGCTCCGACGCGGTGACACCTGAGGGTGCCATCATTCCTTCTTGAAGGGCGTCGGCGCTACCCATCACCCGCTCCCCTCCATATGCCGGGGGAAACCCTAGGACTCGTCCGGGCAGCAGCGTCGTTGGCGTCGCATTCCTTCTTGGAGGTGCTGCTTGGTATGCGGCGGGCCGGTGCCATGGCGTGTGGTGGGACGAAGGTGGAGGGCGCAGCGGTGGCGGATCATTTGTGCTTGCCGAGCTGCCGTTGTTGGCTTTTATTTCTTCTTTTTTCCTTTTGGGCTTGTTGTGCCGTTCGCCCCGGCAGTTACCCTGTGATCGTGTGTCTGGTGCTTTATAATATAAAGCGGGGGGAAACCCTTTTTCGGTAATCACTACAATCAGAAATCATGCTTAGTCGAAGAAAACAGGGACCACAACTAAGTGTTCCATTTCAAAAATCGATTACTTCCTGAGAATTCATATCTATATATGCTGTTAATTATATTGCTGAATCATAAAAAATGCGGCAAGAAAGGGCATATGATCACCTCATCTAAGATAATCCGCTCCCACCGCCCTGAGTGTAGAGGTGACTTGCCCCTGGATTTGCTACCCAATTCCTCAAAATTCTCCTCCTCCTCCTCCTCAATACCACTTTTCCCCTTCACTTTGGTGTCAGCCCACTTGTTGCTCTTCTGCTTCGCCTGCTTCTCCGTACGAAGAGCATCGGGCCCACAGTAATATCTCAAGTGAATCTTGAGCTTCTCGGGGTAAAACTGTTTGCTGCAGTACTCACACCGAATCTTGGGTGGCATTATGTGCTTCCGGTAGTCCGCCTCAATGGTGGAGTAGGTTGTGACCACGAAGTCGAAGGTGTCGAAATCATACTTGTGAGAGCCCCGCCGAGCGCCATGGTAGAGCAGCACGCGCGCGCTGCCTTTGGCCGTGGTGCCGCTCGATCTCCTGCGCCCACTGGATGACGGCCACCACGGGGGGACGGAGCTGGCGCGCGGTGAGGACGAGCGCGATACCCTGGATGGTCTTCCCCATCCCCATCTCGTCCGCGAGGATGCCGCCGCGCGAAACCGAGGCCTCCAGCGCCAGCGCCCACGCGAGCCACTCCTTCTCGAAGCGCAGCAGCTGGTGCAGCACCTCCGGGGCCGGCTCCGCGGTCGGGGCGTCCGTCTCCTCCACTGCCCCGGCGCGCTCGTCGAGCCACTTGGTATTAGCCTCCTCCCACTCTTCCCACGGCAGCGGCGGCCCGTCCTCGTCGCGCTTCCCCTTCTTCTTCTTCTTCCGCCTCCACTTGGACTTGCGCGGCCGCGGCGGCACCACCGCGGGCGCGGGGGCATCTTCATCGGAGGCAAACTCCTCGTCGTCGTCCGCCACCTCGTCCTCCATATCTGCGACCAAGTCGGAGTCGGAGGGGACGCTCTCGTCGTCGTCGTCGTCGTCGCGCCGGCGGCGACGACTGCTGCCGGAGCCTGCGATGGGAGGCGAGGAGTCAGGTCTTGAGGGGCGTGATCCGAGGGGTTCAGCGTATGGAGGAGCTTACCAGATGCATTCTCGTTCCGGCG